GCCTGGGTGACCGTCGGTCGGTCTCGGTCGCAACCTAGACCTGGGCCCTCTGGGACCAGGGACTCAGCAGGAAGCTTCGGTTGCCGGGCCCAGCCTGGGGTGGGCCGCTGGGGTCCTTCCCAGCGCACGCGGGGTGTCGTGGGCGGACGGGCCGGGTGGGGCCGGCCCCAGGGCTGTTTTGTCCTGGCCCCTGCGAGGCTTGCCGGGGTTCTGGTTCATCGCTTGGCTTCCTTTCCCGAGTTAGCTCCGCTTGGTGGAGGACGCGCTTGCACACTCGGGTAACACTGCCTGCAGGGACGCTGAGTGAGGCCCGGGGAGGGGGCCCCCTTCCTCCTGGCCCCACCTGCACTGAGGTGACTGAGCACATGCTGTCCTGGTGGCTGACCCTCAGGGATGGAGAGGGGTGGGTGCGGGGGCAGGGGGGTCAGTTCTGATCTCAGCTGTGTTCACGTGTAGCCTGGGCTGGGCGCTGGGCCGGGCGCTGCACTTTGTGAGGACACAGGCAGCCCTGGGCCGCTGAGCCGGCTGTGCAGGTGAGGAGGGCTGTCTGTGCGCGGAGAGGCGAAGTCAGTGCCAGGTGTGCCGCTGGCCCGCAAGTCCGCCTTTGCCCCGGACACGTGGCCTGCACCTCTCAAACAATTGTCCCGGTGGTTGATTTCGTTAGAACGAGCCCCTTCCCTGCCCCGTGTTGTATGGGCCTCCCTCGATGCTGTGCCCTCGAGCTCCCGTCCTCGCCCCAGCGGCAGACGCTCCCTGGAGTCCTCCCGCTGCTCCTCCCAGCCTTTGCCTCCGACCTCCTCCTCCTCGGTGTTGCACGCTGCCTGCCGACTTCCCGCTCAGAGACACGGAGACTTAACTCTCGAGGCCCCCAAGGCCCCTCCCCCATCCGCACAGTCCAGGAGTCGCGTTCTAACTTCATGGTCACCCCCCGGCGGCACGGTCTAACCAACGTGGAGACGGTGCTCACGGTGAAGTCCACGCGCACTCCAGTTTCACCCTTCCTCGGGAGAGCTCGGGTTGTCTAGGGGCCTCGTTCCTTTTGTCCCCCTTTGCCCTGGAAGCCAGCATCGTACCGGCGGCTAAGTCGGAGCACTTCCTGGGTGCCAGGCACGGTTCCAGGTGCCTCGTAAACCTTCTCGTGGAGCCGGCGACATCGCCGCGGAGCGTGCGCGTCGTTCTTCTCGTGTTACAGCCGGGAAGCGCAGGCGCGGAGGCCAGGTCCGCTGGCCCACCAGTCTGCCCCCCAAAACTGGCAGGCGCAGGAGTGGCACCCAGACAGTCTGACACTGGGCCGCACGCCCTGCACATGTGGCTGCGTGTCTCTGTGCTACACTGTATGCTGTTTTCTCGCCCCGAAGTCCTCCCTCGGGGGGGGGGGGCAGGGGGGTCTCCGTCCTCCCGCCTGAACTCCGGACCTAGGTCAGGGCTGGGGGTTCTTGGAGCTGAGTCCCTTATTCGTTCAGTCCCTCATTCTGCTGGGGTACAGCCTCCAAACAGCCTCCTTAGATAGGATACCTACATTTTTTTACATCTCAAGTCTTCTTTTTTTTTTTTTTAGATTTTATTTATTTATATTTAGAGAGGGAAAGGAGGGAGAGGGAGAGAGAAACATCAATGCGTGGTTGCTGAGGGTCATGGCCTGCAACCCAGGCATGTACCCTGGCTGGGAATCGAACCTGCGACGCTTTGGTTCGCAGCCCGCGCTCAATCCACTGAGCTATGCCAGCCAGGGCTACATCTCCTCAAGTCTTAAAGCTGTTCACGCTGACCTCCGACAGGGGCAGTGTCTTAAAAAATCCAAGGGTGCGTGCTTTTTGTTCGAACGCTTTGCATCTAACCTGCCTTCCAGCACCCAGCTGCTTTTCGGATGCGAAGTCTGAGGTGGTGCTGACTTCAGTGCCTGGACATATGGCTTTTTTTCTCTTAAATTTTCGGGAGACTCGACTTTTTATCCCTGTGTCCCAGAACTGCGTGAAGACAGTAGTGTTTCTTAGGTAAGCTCCCTCTCTCCTCCATTCCTGCTCCCGCAGGCCCCCGAGTCAGGCGCGGGCCTGCCGGTGCCCCTGTCCGGCTTCTCCCCAGTGTGCGGTCTCCACCCTTCAGGTCTCTGGTCCGGGACAGTAACTGTTTTCTAGCCCCTGCGTCTTAAACCTGAACAGCCATGTCTTCGATCTCCAAGGCCTGTCCTTTCCTCCATGCTTCGTGCTTCTCTGTGGCTGAGAGCCTGTTCAAGACTTTCCTCTGCTTCCTCCACCGAGGATGTGTCTGCCTGTTTGCTCTGGGCCCCCCTTTTCATCTGGGGGGCTTGCTGGAAAACCTGGTGACCCTTTCCTACCTGCGCGTGTCCCAGAAGGAGGCCCAAAGAAGTGGGTGGGTGGGTGAGGCTTGGCTGCTCGGCCCTGTTGAGGGTGATCAGACGGGCCCCCAAAGCCAGCGCGTGGCACTGTTGCAGCGTGGACCCCTGAGTCTCTCCAGGAATCGCCCTCTGACCTCCAGGGAGTGTGGGGGCTCTCCTCGCCACGCCCATCGAAGGAGGGGGGCCACGGCTTTGGGATGCACCCCTTCGCTTTGCCTTTCTGCGCCCCTCTTACCCCACCTGGGGTCGCAGGGAAAGCTGGCTGCCACGGGCCGGCCGGCCGGCGAGGGGCCCTGAGGTTCGGCGTGTGCCCATCGCAGCCCGCAGCACACGGGCCGGCCTGTGTGTTCTGGAGGGGGTCGGTGCCCTGTCCCCACCCAGGGAGGGTGAGGCCTCACTGCATGTGCTGCCCGGGCCCACCCAGCCCAGCAGCCTCGTCTCGGGTCCATGTTCTCTTGACTCGGGGGATTGTGCGGCTCCCCGATTCTCTGCGCAGGCACCGTTGCCCACAACAAGCAGCCCGTGGCTCCCACTGGGCCGCGTGTCAGGCAGTGGGGGAGCCACGCCGAGGCCCACCGTGTGCTCGCAGACACAGGCCCCCCACGGGCCCGGGAGGGACAGCAGTTCCGGCAGGGCCTCCTGGAGGTCTGCGAGACTGTGGGCTCCGGGGGAGTTCGAGCCGACTCTCGGGGGTTGCCCTGGTTCCCTGCCCCGTGCGTCCCGTGGTCCTGGGAAACCCCAGGTGCTGTCTCCTCCTGCTGGCGTCCTGGTGGCCGGCTCAGCCCCCACTTCCCGCTGGTGTGCCTGGGGGTGGGGGCAAGCCTGGGAGGCACTGCTGGCCTCAGGGAGCCTGCAGGGGCTTCTGGAACAGTGGCCAGCGGAGCAGCCGCCCCTCAGGGAGACCAGGGCAAATCCTTTTGCGTTTAAATAATGAGCCTTTGATATGGATACGCGTCTGGGACGCATGCTTCTTTTGGGTTCGTCTGGACTTGGTAGACATGGTTCCAGGCTTTCTGAACCCGGGGCTGGCCCGGACACCCGTGGCCCTGCACAGCTCTGAAGCGGCGGTTGTGATGGGGTCGTCGGTGGGGCGCACTGGTGGGGACTGTCCTTGGGGCCTGGGTCTGCCGCTGTGGACGGGTGGGGACTCCCTTACACAAACATCACCGGCACCTACTAGGCAGCCCTGCCCAGAGCTGGACTCGGGGCGCCGTAGTTCCCTAGGGGAGTCGCACGGGCAGCGTGGGGGGCACTCCCTGTCAGGACCCGGGCCGGGGGAGGCCCTGCTGGGGGCACAGCGAGTCCCGAGAGCTGCCGGACGGAGCGTGGCAGTCCCCGGTGGCTCTCTGAAGGAGAGTCGCCTTGCGTGTCTGTTGTAAAGCACAGCGAAGCAGCACGGAACACAGAACAGTAGATAGGACCGCACCCTCCCATGGCTCCGGGCGCACCGACAGTACCCGGGGCTGCACCCCCCAGAGGGGGGTCTGGGTTTCCCCGTGGGCTGCTCGGGGCGGCCGTCCCCACCCAGCACAGGGAGTGCGGGCCCAAGGTCCAGCCGTGCCCCCACGGCCCAGTGCTCAGGGGCCCCCAGAGCCTGAAGGAGCAGAGTCACAGCCACGGCAGGCTGGTGTCCGGGGTCAGGTTTCCAGGTCAAAGTGCATTCTCATAGATGCTTTTATTCGGAAGGGGAAGCTTAGACTGACACTCCAGGCCCCGTCCCCGGAGCCTCCTGCCTCGGCCCCAGAGGAGCTGCCCTCAGGAGGCGCGTGTGGGGTGGCCCCGGGCACGGCTGCTCTGGCCTGGCTCCCCGCCGCCCCCCCCCCCGCCCCCGCCCAGGGCCTGCCAGGGAACCAGCAGCGGCTCCCCGGTGGCAGCCTTGGGACTCCGTGGCACCCCCTCGTGCCCAACCTCATGTCCACTCGAGTGTTCTCCAGCTGCACTTCATGACGCTTCCGTCACAGTTCCCATCGTGACGAGGGCCGTGAGGTTAAAGCTCCGTCCCCGGGGCCTGACTGCGTCTCTTCGGTCTGGCCTCTGTCGGGGGAGCAGGGGGTCGCGGGCAGCTGTGCCCTGAGCGGAGTGTGTCCTGCAGGAACGTGACCTATGGGGCAGCACTTGGTGAGCAGCCGAGGCCATTGTTCCTCGCTTTATTTTTAGGCACAAGTGACGGGTGGCGGAGGGCCTGGTGGGGGAGGGGCCTGCAGATCCGCCCCACGGGCAGCCTAACACACTTTTGGGACGGGGGCAGAGCGGGGGGCAGAGCGGGGGGCAGAGCAGGGGCCCCGCCGTCTCGTTTGTAATCTGCAGAAGCACCCCGTGTGGATCAGGGCGGAAAGCCGAGGGCCTCACGTCTGTTTGCGGTCCTGCTTCTCGTGGTGGATTAGCTGTGTGGGTGGCGGCTGTGCCTCGGTCTCCCCGCACCCAGGGTCCCCGGGGCCCCGGCAGTGCCCAACCTTCGGGCTCGTCGCCTGGAGGACCCCCTGCCTCTAGCCTGCAGTTCCAGCCACACAGACTCCCGCCGGCTGCGGGCGGCAGGTTCTTAAAATACCCGCCCGTCAGCACCCTCTCAGAGAGGAATGTGCAGGGCCGCCGTGATGTCAAAGGGGCCCAAGGGTAAGGGCCCGGGCCAGACGCGGCCTGTCACTCACGGCTCGCGGCAGAGTGGCAGATAAGCCAAGGCTCAAAGACACCCAGCTGGTGCCCGGGCTCCGTGGAGATCTCTGGGCGGCCCTGCGGGCCTGGCTGCGAGCTCCTGCGAACAATGAACTTGCAGCCACCGCTGCCCAAGTGAACACGGGGGCGCTGGGCTCTTCCTGCCGCACCCCCTTGTCAAGCCCGCGCCAGCATGTCGGGAGCCCCCGAGGACAGCGTGGGGGCCCTCGGGCTGCCAGGGGTGGGCAAGGACTGCTTGACCACCATGGACACAAAGCTGAACGTGCTCAGCGAGAAGGTTGACAGGCTGCTGCATTTCCAGGCCGACGTCGCGGAGAAGCTGCAGTGCGTGTGCCAAGGCATGGGCCACCTGGAGCAGGGCCTGCACCGGCTGGAGGCCTCCAGGGCCCCGGGCCCGGCCGGGGCCAGCCCCGCCCCCGCCCCGGCAGGGGACGCGCAGGCTGGGTGGCCGGAGGTCCTGGAGCTGGTGCGGGCCCTGCGGCAGGACGGGGCGCAGCACGGCGCCAGGCTCGACGCCCTGTTCAGGGTGGTGGTGGCCGTGGACAGGGCCGTAGCTCTGGTGGGGGCCGTGTTCCAGAACTCCAGGGTGGTGGACTTCATCACGCGGGGGAGCGTGCCTTGGCGGAAAGGAGGCCTGACCGACGGCCCTGCGGAGGTTGGTTCCTGCGCCCGTGCCCCGCGCCCTCCTGCCCGGAGGGGCGGGCAGCCCCCAGGCCGGTGGGGGGGGCCGGCAGGTGGCTCCTCTTAGGAGAGCCAGGGGTTGTCTCACGCCCCCTTCTCGTGCCTCCTGCGTGACCTGGTGATGGGGAAAGGGAGAGGCGGACGGTAAAACTCGGGGGTGGGTTTCCAGACAGGAAGAGGCAGTGCCCGGGGAGGCCTGTGGGGCCCGGGGCAGGTCCCCTCTAGGGCACCTCGGGCTGGGGGACACACAGGCCCCGAGGGAGAGGAGGACGTCGAAGCTTCCTGGCCATCCGGTGACTTCTCTTTGCTCCTTGTGTCCCCTGTGGGGGACGGAGTCAGGGGGAGCGGTCAGTTCCTCCTGACAGGGACCCCGTTCGGAAACCCCGGCCTCTCCCTTCCTGTCCCTAACCTTGTGCCCTGTCCCAGAGTGGGTGGGGTGTGGAGTGACAGCTGCCTGTGAGGACGAGTGTTGACAGTGACCCACAGGGGACACAGGCCAGGCAGGAGCCTGGGGGTGGAGGTGGCATTTGTGGGAGCTGCCCTTCCCGAGGGTTGCAAAACCGAACCCGCTGGCTAGCGGGAGTCTGGCCGGGGTGGGGGTGTTTGTGTGTGTGTGCATGCGAGGTGTGTAGGGGCAACACTCTGTTTGGGAACAGCTAGGGGACAGCCACTTAGCAACACTCACGTGGCTTGGAGCCGCCGTGTCCCATCCGGGCAGTCACCCACCAGCCTCTGGCAACAGATAAGCTGGGGTCTCCGGATCTGGTGCCTTCCTTCCGCACCCCTAGCCTGGCTGGAGCTGCCCCCGCTGACCCCTTCCCCTCCTTGCCCAGTCACTTCCCCCGGCGCCCCCTCCACCCCGCCCCCGGCTTTCTGCCCGTCCCTGTGAGTCCGGACCTGCCCTCTGGCCACTGGTCGCCAGCCTCAGCTGTAAAAGGGACTTCGTCCACCATGTGCCCGGGGTGAGAACCATTCCTGGGGTGTATGTAGAGGGCAGACCCCTCCTGCTCCATCCCCCAGGCCTAGCAGAGGTGCCCGTTTCCTGTGGAACCTTCCAGAAATAGCCTGTTATCTAGAAGCGTGTTGGGATACGCACCGGCCTCTTTGTTTTGTTCAACTCAGTTACCCCTCACATGGGTCTGGCCCGCGCTATCCTCTCGGTCCGTGCACTTGGGGCGTCATTTCACACCGGCACCCAGAGGGCCCCCCCACGCTGTTCGAGAGCGGCCGAGTGCGCCCTCCAGGGGCCGTGTCTCCGGGGGCGGGGGGTCGCCCACCGACGTCCCTGTTGGCTCATCTCGGTTCTCGTGTCTGGCTCCTAGAGAAGGGGTGCGGCGACTGCCCGTCCGGGGTGAGGTTTCCGTCCGACGCCCTCCAGGCAGTGGGTTTGCACCATCGGTAACGGCAGCCCGGCCTTCGGAGACGGTGGTTCTCGTTCAGTGTGCGATTTGTAACACGTGGGAATGCTTTTTCATGCTTCGCCTGTCTGGTGGATGGAAACAGGAATCTTTCTGTGCCCGTGTGCGTGTGTCCAACGTTTCAGCATTAACGCTTCCAAGCATTTATAAAAGCAGCTTAGTAGGGTGACCCCCGCGAGCCCCGAAACCGGAGGCCAGTGTTCCCCACCCATTTTCCTCTTTCCGGGGTGTTGTAGCAAATCTGAAGGATTGGATCACTTTGTCCATAAACATTTCAGCATTGTTATGTAAAAGATAAGGTGTTCTGTTTTTTTTTACCTATTGTCATACCTAAAAAGTAAATGTTAATTAGTATCAGCAAAGTCACTGTTCACATTTTCCTTCCTTATGCTTTTTTTTTAAACTTCTTTACCTTTTTTTAAAAGATTTATTTATTTATTTTTAGAGAGGGAAGGGGGAGAGAGAGAGAGAGAGAGAAACATCCATGTGCAGTTGTTGGGGGCCATGGCCCACAACTCAGGCATGTGCCCCGGCTGGGAATCGAACCTGCGATGCTTTGGTTTGCAGCCCGAGCTCAGTCCACTGAGCTATACCAGCCAAGGCTCTTATGCTCTTTTTAAAAAACTTGTATTGCAATTACAGTGTATATTCAGCATTATTCAATGTGAGTTTCAGATAAACTGCATCACGGTTAGGCCGTCACATGCTTTACAAAAGGTCCCCTGATGAGCCTCCAGGTGCCCCCAGGTGCCGCACACACCACACGACATCACTGACTGCGTCCCCCGTGCTGAGCGACACCCCCGTGACTGTCCGTACCGTGCCTGCTGATTGGTGCTTCTCGGTCCCTCACCTGTGTCACCAGCACCCCCCCCTGCACTCCCCCCGCCCCGTCTTATGCTCTTTTTTCCTTACAGTTTATTCGAGTCCAGCTCCAAATAAGGCAATTGGTTATATGCCTCTTAAAGTTAACATTTTTTCTTTAATCACGGAAAAATTTAAAGACTCTTTCTTGTGGCCCTGGCCAGGTGTCGCAGTTGTCTGGAGCCTCATCCTGAGCACCAAAGGACCGTGGGTTTGATCCCCGGTCAGGGCACAGGCCTGGGTTGCGGGTTCGAGCCTCAGCTGGGGCGCGGGCAGGAGGCAGCGACCAGTGTCTCTCTCTCACACTGACGTTTCTCTCTCTCTCTGAGATCAGTCAAGACGTATTCCTGGGTGATGTGTTTTTACTGATTTTGGAGAGAATCTAAAAAAAAATCCCCAACTTTTCACTATGGAAAATGTCAAACGGAACCAAAAATAGATGATGTGTCTCACTATAGTTTTAGTTTGTATTTCTTTTCCAGACATTGGAGCGTCTTTTGTAGATTTGAAGCCCTTTACACGTCTCCATGCACTGCCCGCCCCAGCTCCCCACTGCCCCAGCTGGGAGGCCTCCGCACCCCTCTGCGCCCTGCAGCCAGGGCTGGTCACACAGGAGGTGCCGGGGGACGGCAGTGAACTGACACACAGCCCCGGCTAGTGAACTCTGTGTGGAAAACCGTGCAGTACGGAGACCTTCTAGAGACAGACCTCTTTGTGCTTCCGAAGGGGGTGGAGGCATAGTGGTTATTTGTGGACTTGAATTTGACCCTGGCACTAGCCGTTAGACCGCACAGTCGTGCCAGGACTCTGCCGAGTCCTCCGCCGGTCCCCTGGAAGGCCCAGTGGCACTCCACGCGGTTGCGAAATGAAGTCGATTATCACCAGGGCCAGGTGGTCTTCGGGAAGGACGGGGTCAGGCCCAGCCAGGGGTGGGCCCGGCCCATGGCCCAGCTGCTCAGAGATGCCGGTCCTCTGGAGTGGAGTTCGGGGCCTCTTCTCCTGGTCTTGGGTGCACCGGGCAAGGTGGGGACCGGAAAGCTGAGCCCTGAAGACAAAACCCATGTGTGTGCGTGCCTGCACCAAAGACAGACAGGGAGAGGGCAGCCTGGGCCCCACAAGGGCTGCCAGAGGACAGCCTGTTCGAGTCCCTCTCTACCGGCGGGGTGACACGGCCGGCAGCCCGCGACAGAGCCGCCAGCCCCCCAGCGACGGGGGTGGCAGGGCCGAGTCTGCAGAGAGAGAGAGAGGCTCAGGGAGGGGCCTCTGCTGAGCAGGGCTCAGGGCACTTGGAGATGATGGTGGTCACCCCGATGGCGGCCGGCAGCGTCTGTCCACTGAGTGCCAGCCCCACACCCCCAGGCACTGGGCGCTGCGTCCCCACATGTTGTGTCGCTACCGTTAAGAAGGCAAAGCTTGGTGTCCGGGGATTTCAGAGACATGAGCAGGTGACAGAATTGAGGGTGCAGGGCAGGCACAGCGGTGGGACCAGCCCATTTCCATGCCAGGGGGCCGTGTGGACGGCTGAGGGCCCGGAGCCCCCTGTTGGGGGGGGGCCCGCGCCTGCTGCTTTGTGCCACGTGGGCCTGGAGGGGTCAGGTTTTCACATTATTGTTCCCCAAGAGACACTGGGACCTTGGACTTTTTCACCAGTCTGGTTTATTGAGGTATAGCTTACATACAGTCAACCTCCCGTACACACATGTAAGCATGCAGTCCGACGGCGTACACGTCCCAGCAGCCACGCCGTAATCCGAGTACAGAGCAGCTCTGTCATGACAGGGGGGCGCCTGGAATTTCCGCTTACACGTCTCCTAGGTTTAAGGTCTGCGCAACAGAACTTTTCCCGCGCTGCGCAAGCCGGGCAAAGCGCGTCTCGGGCCGTGTCTGTCCTCTGGGCTCCCAGGCGGGGCCAGGGCGGGAGGGAGGGGCCCTGTCCCGGCCCAGGGCCGTGTCCACACCGGCTGCTCCACCAGCCAAAGCGCCAGGGGACCCAGAAATATTTACTTACTAAAAAAAAAGTTTCTTTATACAAATTACAGTTGTCCCCATTTTCCTTCCTTTCTCCCTCCCTCCTTCCCTTCTTTCCTTCCTTCCTTTAAAGTGTGTATACTCGGGACGGGGAGAGCCCCCAGCTGCTGGGGGGGTGAGAGCGCGTGCCTGGCTGGCGCGGGCCCAGCCGCGGAGGGCGGGGCTCCCCGCGCCCCTGCTCAAGGGCTCACGGAACACGACCGCTGTGTGTCTCAGGCGGGACAGAGACCCCCCACCCCCACCCCCGAGTGCTCCCGCAGCGGGCTGGGCACCCTTCTCAGCACGGTCTGCAGATTGACTCCCCCAGCCGCCCACTAACTCGGCGTAGACGGTCTTCTCCCCATTCTGCAGACGAGCAGAGTGAGGTGCGGAGAAGTTAAGGATCTTGGCCAAGCGGTGAGGGCGGGCTCAAGGGTCTGCGAGTTCACGCCCCTGACCACGCTGCCGTGACACCCTGGGGTGACGCGGGGTTCGCCCGCTTGCCCCCCAGGCAGATGTTACTTACTAACCATTCGTGACGTGCGAACCCCGGCAAGCGCGGATTCATTTGTCTTAGGGCTGCGACCCAGCCGACCCGAGGCGACATTTTAGGATTAAACGTGTTTCCCACCCCCGGTCTAAGCACCTTGAGGCCCAGCCCGTGAAGATCCCGTGTCAGGGGCTGGGCCACCCTCGGCAGCAGGGCCCTGACTCACCGGGAGGGGGACCCGGGGAAAGCCGCGGTGTCCCTCTGCCTGAGGCGACGGAGCAGTCCCCACTGCTGGTGTCTCTGCGAGACCAGGTGCACAGGCGTAGCTCCGGCGCGTGGTGGGTGCGCAGCGAAGGTCTGTGGCCCGAGCGATGGCGCCGATGACAATGACGGTGTCCGTGGTTGTCCTTTCAGAACAAGGAGAGAGAGGAAGAGAAAGGAGCCACACCGCAGCCCGTGCTGTGCACCAGGGGCGTGCAGGCGGAGCTCGGGGGGCCTCGGGGAGGTGAGTGCGGCCCCTTCGTTCCGCCCCGCCTCGCTCACCCGCAGACTAAAGGCCGCCCCCCCCCCCGCCACCAGCACGGCCACCACCCGGCACCCGTCAGAGACGGACGGCCCGCTGCCGTGTTAACGCCGCTTGGAGACCCTCCTCCCTTGCAGCCTGGGCCGCCAGCCTGACACCGTGGCTTAGTTCTGCACTTTGCTGCAGCTCTTTGCGGGTTGCTCTTCGTAAAGCTCCAGTTCCTTTCATGACTTTGCCCAATGTCTACACGGTCCCAGAGTCAAACGCACAGAACAGGGTGTGGAGAGAAGTCGGGCACCCACCCCATCCCCCTCCCCCGCCCCCGCCGCCGCGTGCAGCCACTCTGCAAAGATTGTCTCCCCACCCCCGTACGGTGCGGTGTCTCAGACCACACCCTGAGCAGTTGTGCCCACGCACACTCATGCACACACACATGCACACACACACACACCTCAGACAGAACAGAGCCATGCCGCACGCCTCGCCCTGGCGCACCTGCGGCACCCGCTGAGGCCGCCCGAGCCGCCGCGCTGCTTCTGCCCCCCAGGGTTGGGGCTGCTCGCAGCATTGCCAGCGGCGGGATGTGCCCCCGGGACGGGGGGCCTCTGGGCTGCTTCCACTCTGCCCCTTATGAGCACGTCCTGCTGCGTGGCTCCCCTGTGCTGTCCTGCTTGCGTCCTCGGGGGAGAGAACGCTCCAGCGGCCTGCTTTCCCGCCCCCCGTTTCCCCGTAGAGAGCCAGGAGGCTGACCCGCCGGAGGGCACAGCGGAGGGGCTGCCCCCCGCAGGCGCTTCAGGGATGGGGCCTGCCGTCCTGGCCCAGCCGGAGGCCTTGCCGGGGCAGGGAGATGGCGTGCCCGGCCCGGACCTCGAGGCCCCTGCACACCTGCCACCGTCCGGAGAGGCAGACGCCAAAGCTCCCGGGGCGGCTGGCCAGAGCCCCGGGACCGGCCTGGAACTGCCCGCGGCACCCAGCAGGGGCGGCGAGGCCCCTGCCGGCCAGGAGGCTGCCCCAGACACGGGACAAGGACCGTCGTCCGGTGACCCTGATGCTCGGCCTGCAGAGGAGGGCATGGAGCCGACTTTGGGGCTGCCAGCCGATGCCACGGCCGCTCCGGGGGGTGAAGACGCGCACCCGAGGTAGGTGGAGCGCCTGGGAGCTGGGCCGGGAGGAGGGAGCCGGCCTGTGGGGGAGCACGGCCGCCCGAGGGACCCGTGGGTCTGTGTGGGTGAGCGCCACGGCTGGGCAGCACTGCGCCAGCCTTGAGAGAAGGCGGAGACGGCAGCCCTCGGCACCACCCTGCTTCCAGGATCTTCGAACACGGCTGCTTACCTGGCGCCTGCAAGAATCACCTAGAGGGAATTTTTAAATACCGATACCCGGAGATTCTCATGCATTCAGCCCTGAGGGTGGCTCAGGCATTGGGTTTGGGTTTGGTTGGGGTTTTACGAGTCCCGGGTGATCCCAGCACGGGGCTGAGCGCCCCAGCTGCTAGAGCAGTAACAGCGGGTCACGCCGCAGCCCCCAGACCACACCCCTGCACCGGGCTGGGCGGACTGCGTTCCAGGCCTCGTCTGGTTCCGTTCTCACGGCACCCCAGGAGGCAAGCGGGGTCGGCCTCCCCGCGGTGGTGATGAGGAAAGAGGCCCAGGGTCCCCAGGGCCACACAGCGAGGGATTCAGAGTTGGAGCGCGACCCAGGGCACTGCGCTCCATGTGGACTCGCTTACCTAACCACGCGCCACCCTGCGTCCCCGCGCGGTGTTGAATTGAGTCCGGACTCTGTGGTGGGAGAGGAGCACGGGCAACCCGGGGGGGGTGCTTTGGGGAGGGCTGTGCCGGGACCCTGCAGGGGGGGCTGTGACGGGACCCCCAGGCCGTGGCCTCGGGACCTGCTGGGGCAGACACGGTGCCGGACAGGGAAGAGCCAGCGCCGAGGACTCCCAGCCTTCCCCTGGCCCGCGGCCCGCGTGCCCCAGCCTCCCCGCGCGCCCCTCCCAACCCCCCCCCCCCACCGCCCGCAGCCGCTGAAGGGCCCGGTGCCTCTCAGGCCTCCCTCCCCGGGCCGGGGCTCTCCTGCGCCGGACCTGGGGCGGCCTGGCCCTCCGCGGAGCCCGTCCCCGGGGGCCTGGTGCCCCGAGCTGGTGTGCATGTGCTCGGGCCTCTGGCAGAGAAGCCAAGCCCCTTGTCTGCCTTTGTTCTGGGGGGAGCGGAGCCTGCAGGAGAAGGGAGGGGGTCCTGGCAGGCGTCCTGGTCCTGGCCAGGGTTCCGAGTGTGGAATCTGGGCATGGGGTGTTGGGGGGTGGCACTTCCCATGAACTTGTACAGGGCTCCCCAAAGATTCTGAGTGAAGGGAAAGCTCTCAGGAGCCAGGGAGGCCCCCGCCGGCCCTTCCTCAGCCGGCACGGCCTTCACTCAGGCACGCTCTGCATGCAGCAGCTGCCCTGCCTGGGCCCCGTGGACGCGCGGCCCGAGTGCTGCCGTCGACGTGCGCCGCCCACCCACGGAGGGAAGACCACGGTGGACGGCAGTGGCCGTCGGCCTTCTCAGGGCCGTATTTTCCCCTCTGCCCAGGATCCCCGTCCGTGCGCAGGACACGGGTACCCCTGCGGAGCTGCCGGTGACACAAGGGGGTGGCCCCGGACCCGCATCCCCTGTGGAGGCCCCAGCGGCTGTCCAGCCAGGTGAGCAGGACCCACCTGAGCCCAGGTGCTGTCCCCAGGCTCCTGGGACCGAGTCGGAAAAACAGACCCCGAAAGGAGCCAGCGAGTGCCCCCCACCGCCTGTGCGGAGCAGCGACGGGGGGACGGAGGCTGAGGACCAGCAGGGGCCTGCGCCTGAACCAGCCACGGGACCGCAAGGGGACAGGAGGGACTCGGGCGCCGGGGCCCCGGGCCTGCAGCAGGACAAAGGCCCCGGAGCAGGGAGCCCTGAGCCCCAGAAGGCCTGCAGCCCTGGGGGCCTGGACAGAGCCGAGGCGGGAAGGACACCCCAGGGCGCCGAGGCCTGCAGCCTGGTTCTGGGTGAGTGAGGGGTGCCGTGTGCTGAAGGTGACGGGTGTGGAGGGCTCCTCCTGCAGAGCTGCCTTGGGGCTCCCAGGGAGACAGGATGCAGAGCAGGGGGAGTCCCAGGCTTAGAACAGCCCTCGGGGGCCTGCAGGGGCCTGCTGGGACTGGAGACCCGGTGGGGACTTGCGGGGGGAGCTTGGGTTGGCGTAGCCTCGGGGAGGAGGGCACCAGGGGAGTTCTCAGAGCCCCCGCCCTCCTGAGCTTCCCACCGCTGCTGTCCTCCTTCTGGAAGGACACAGAGAAGGCGGCTGGTGAAGAACAGGCGTCTGTGTGAGCCGGCTCGCCCCAGGGCAGGGAACGGGGTGGCGAGGCGCTGACCTGCTTCTGCGCCAGGGCTGTGCGAGGCGTCCTTGTGTTCTGTGAGCCGAAGCCCTCAACACCTCGAGCCCTTTGGGTCCCACGGTCCATCCACGTGGCTGCAGGAAGGCCACCCTTGGCCGAGCCCTGCCCGAGGGCCTCAGGAGGGCCCTGAGAAGGGCTGTCTGCCCGACAGTGGTCCCGGCGCCCGAGCCACTCTGGGCTCCACAGCTGCCCTGTCGCCAGCTGCTGCTTCTCCCCTGGTACGGCTTGGTCCGCATGTGGGCACAGGCCTCCCTCCCTTCCTGAAACACGGCTGAGAGCAGGCTGTGACTTCGGGGCCTCTCTGAGCCTGGGCTGGCGACAAAGCCAGCGTCGTACACTGAGGACTCGCTGTGCTGAGCAGCGTGCATGGGTGCCGGCCTGGGTCCTCGCAGGCCTGTGGGTGGATGGGGGGCACGCGGAACCCGGGAGAGGGGCAGAAACACGCCCCAGGCCTCTCTGTCGGCGCCGAAGGAGCTGGGGGCTGGCCCCTGCTGTCTGGCTTCCCCACCTGCGTGGGAACCTCACGGCGGCGCCACGCTCAGAACAAGCCAGCGCGGCGAACTGGGGGCCGGAACCCTGGATTTGGGGTCTGTTACACGCACCAGGAATCCAGGCTCTCCCAGCCTTCCCGGGGACCTGGAAAAGTGGGAAAAAACAGAAACAAAAAGAACCGCAGCAGAAGTCCACAAACGTTAGTTAGCCTGGGGGTCCAGGGCTCAGGGCTCAGGGCTAGGCGTGGCGGGGACGAAAAGGAGAAGGCGGATCCTTTTAAGGAGGATTCCGCCACCAGCTCGGGGTGCGGAAAGCTGAGAGAGACCACAGGGCTTGGCCTCTCTCCGGAGGGCGGGGCCTGCCCGGGAACACCGAGTGCTTCCGCAACAGGGACAGGCCCCACACGAGCGGCAGCCCCGCCGCGGAAGGCCCGCCCTCACGTGCACACCGCCTGACGCCGCTGTGTTCGGGGTGTGTGCTCGGTTCTTTCACTCCTCTTCTCTGGTTCATGTAGCATTTCTGGTTTCCTATCCCACCTGAAGGACAAGATGTGGGAAAAAACCCCTCTAACTCATTTTTATCTGAGCGCCGGTGTCCTCCATCCCCCCTCCCCCCACTGTGCCCCAGACCGCAGTGCCACCCCCGCCCACCCTGGGACCGGCTCCTGGGCCGCATCGCGGGCTCCCGTGCCAGCGGGGACATCCAAGGGCGAGGGGCGGGGGGAGGCCTTTGCTCCTCCAGCTGCCTCCCTGGCACCAGCCTCGCTGGCTCCGGCGGCCCCGCCCGCCCTGGAGAGCACAGCCCGTCCTTCAGCCGCTCCGTTGCCCTGCCCGGCGCCACTCCCGCGTCCTGCACCGCACGGCCCCGCGGGCCCTTCTCAGCTGCGGTGAGCAGGCGGGACCTAACCCCCCCATCCGGCAAAGAGCACTGTCGCAGGTGCCGGGAGACCCAGGTCGGAATCTTGACAGTCCCCGCCTCGCTGCATGACCTTGGCCGTCACCTCACCTCTCGGGGACTCCCCTTTCTCCTCTGCCAAACGGGTGACTTGAGTGAGAGCATCGCTGAGAAGGACGCAGGGCTTGTTGTCGCTCGAGCCAAGCGGGCCTGGGACGGGTGGCTGAGAGGGCGGGGCTGCACGGGGGAGGCTCACAGACTGCTGTCCCCCCCCCCTCCCCGAGCAGATGACAGCCCGGCCCCGCCAGCCCCCTTCGAGCACCGGCTGGTGAGCGTCAAGGAGACGTCGGCGTCGGCGGGCTACACCGTGTGCCAGCACGAAGTCCTGGGGGGGTAGGTGGACTTCCCGCTCTGACGACGGGCGGAGCAGGAGGCTGGGGGGCAGAGACACCTGGGGCGCCGGCGTGGGTGCCCCTGGGTGGGTCTCAGCAACTGGTTGAGCCAGGCCAGGGTGGGACATGCGAGCAGTGAGTGGACGGCCCGCAGGGTGGGGTGAGAAGAACAGCCCCCAGAGGGCAGGCGGGCCCACACGGCGTGGAGGTGGGGACCCACCTCCCACTGCATCCTTCTTACTGCACCCACACTGTGTGGGGGTGTACTGGAGGCGGCAGGCGGACCCCCATGGGGTGCAGTAAGAAGGAAGTCCTCCAGGGAGGGGCTCAGTGCCATGGCACTGGGACAGGCCACGTTCCCTGGGGCCTGGGGTAGTGTGGGGTGACAGAGCTCCTGTCCGGGTTTTAGGGAGCCCTGTGGAGTGGGGCTGCTGACGCGGGTCCCTCTGGGGTGCAGGCAGCCCCCGTGCGTGGTGTGAGCGGAGAAGGGGTGGCCCTGGAAGCCGGGTGGGAGGGATGGGAGGGCTCTCAGCTCCCGCGTCGTCGTGCTCGCAGGGGCCGGTTCGGCCAGGTGCACAGGTGCACGGACAAGTCCACCGGCCTGCTGCTGGCGGCCAAGATCATCAAAGTGAAGAGCGCCAAGGATCGGGTGAGGCGTCCGCCCCGGGCTGCTGGCCTCTCACTCCTTGTCGGCCCCCGGGCCCCCCGGGCCCCTCAGGCCCGGACCCGCCCGAGCTGAGCGGGAAGCCAGGCCCCCTTTCCTGCCTCCTTCCCGTGACCCTGCAACCCCGGTCTGCAGGCCACCTGCACCCCGGGGGACAGGGCCCTCCCAGACCTCTGGCTGCCCTTCCCGGGCCTCGGGCTTCCTGCCTGTGAGGTGGGTGGGCTGGCAGGGCCCCTTCTGTTGTCAGAGCCCGGCCTGGGTGGCGAGTGGAGGCCGGCTGGCGTGAGAGCCGGACACAGTGTGGGTGGGCGTGCGGGGCGCCCACACGTGTGCCTCCGGGAGGGCGGCCGGCTCCTCTTCCTGACCCCTTTCCTGGACACCCTCCTCCCCTCTGGCTCCGCAAGGAGGACGTGAAGAACGAGGTCGCCATCATGAACCAGCTGCGCCACGTCAACCTGATCCAGCTCTACGACGCCTTCGAGGGCAAGAACAGCTTCACCCTGGTCATGGAGTAGTGAGTGTCCGTGGCGGGCGGGCGGGCGGCCTCACTGTGGCCGGGGGCGCTGGGGTCCTGGGCGAAGCTCTTCTCCTCCCCCACCCCCTCCCGGGCTTGCCAGTCCAGGGGACGCACGTCATCACCTCCTCTGCCGGTCCCCCGCTGGGGAGCGTGGGGGGCAAAGCTGCTGTCCCAAAGCAGCTGCCAGTGATCGGGCCTGCAGGTCTCAGTTTGGCCTGGCCCGTTTTCCGTGGTTCTGATGTGGCGTTAGCAGTTGGAAACCGGGAAATCACGTGTTGTAACCCGGGCAGCTGGCTTTTCTTGACTATCTAGTAATGCTGGCCCCATATTTCCAGCTCGAAATGGGTCTGATTTGCCCACCCCTGCAGGCTAGTGAGCTTACAGCCTTGGCCTGGGGCGTCCAGGCTGAGGCCGACTGTCCGCACGGAACCGGTGCAGCCTCTCTTTGGCCCGTCACTTCCTTTTTGCCCCCTGCACCCTGAGCTGGGAAGGGGCCGGAGCACAGGTCCCCATGAGACCCCAGAGGACAGGGACACCCTCGGGCTCTCACCTGGGGTGGCGCCGAGCGCGGACCCGTTCCCCAGGAGCCCCGCTCAGCGCGGCGCCTGCCTCTCCTTCGCCCCGGCAGCGTGGACGGGGGCGAGCTCTTTGACCGGATCACAGACGAGAAGTACCACCTGACCGAGCTGGACGTGATCCTGTTCACCAAGCAGATCTGCGAGGGCGTGCACTACCTGCATCAGCACTACATCCTGCACCTGGACCTCAAGGTCAGGCCCCGCCTGGGTGTGGTGGGCGGGGCGGCGGGCGGGCGGGCGGCCCCGGGTTCCCAGGCCTGTGCGGCGCTGGCCCCGGAGAGCTCAGACGCCCGGCGTCCCCGCCTGGCTCCCCGCCATTTCCAGTTCTGGAGCCCAGGGCAGGCGAGGCCTGCTGACGCTCCGAGCCTCGGTTTTCCCATCTGTGAAATGTGGATGACAAACCTCTGTAAGCAGTCTGTGAAGATTCAGTTATAGGGCTTTTGTTTTTAAAAATATCGTTTAAATTAGCTTCTTTAAAATTACCGTGGGAGCAGGGGCTTCTGGTAACCAGTAGAGACCACACAGAACTGTGTGGGGTGGACCGTGAAAGCGCTTCCCAGCCAGTGTCCTCGCCAGGAGGCCTTCTGCACGAGCAACGCGGCCTGGCGCGCGAGCCCCGGGAGCCGACTCTGCCTCCCCTTCGTCCACTGGCCTCTCTTAGCCAGCAGGACACTGGGGACACCCTGGCTCATGCTCTTTCAGGGCCGTGGGTACTCCTCTGAATGAATGCACTGCACTTTCTTTTGTCTCCTGGACAAAAAGTGAGCGCTGATACTGGCAGCCATTTCCCTCTCTCTCTCTCTCTCTCTCTCTCTCTCTCTCTCTCTCTCCTTCCTCTCTCCCTCCCTTCTGTCCTTCCTTTCGTGTGGGTTTATTCCTTGGCTGTCTCTTCTGTTCCCTTGACCTGTGTGTCTTTTTTATGCCAGTACCACACTGTTTTGATGACTGTAGTTTTGTAATATAGTTTAAAACCAGGACTTGAGATGCTGCCTCTGGCTTTGTTTTTTCTCAGTATTGCCTTGGCTGTTTGAGTTCTTCAGTGGTTCCACACAAGTTCTAGCATAGTTTGTTCTATCTCTGTGAAAAATGCCATCGGACCTTTGATAGGGATTGCACTGACTTTGTAGGTTGCGTCGGGTATTAACAATATTAATTCTCCCAGTCCATAAGCACAAAATCCGCCTTCTTCAGTTTCTCTCATTCGCGTCTGACAGTTGCTAGTGCACAGGTCTTGCAGCAACTCGGCTAGAGCCAGCTCTCCTAAGCGTGCATTCCTTTTGGTCCGTTGTAAATGGGATTATCTTCTTAATTTCTCTTTCTGATAGTTTCTTGGTGTGTAGAGAAATGCAGCTGATTTTTGTAGAATGCTTTTGTACCCTAAAAATTTACTGAATTTGTTTTTTAAGTTCTACAGTTTTGGGGGGGAGTCTTTAGAATTTTCTGTGTATGATATTCGTGTCATCTGCCAAGAGTGAGTTTTACTTCTTCCTTTCCTATCTGGATGCTTCTTATTATTATTGTTCTCTTTCTTTTTGCCCAATCGTTCCGGCTCTGATCGCCACCCCTGTGCTGACTAGGAGTGGGCAGAGTGGGGAGAGGGGGACTCCTTGTCTTGCTCCTGACCTCAGGGGGGAGGTTTCCAGCTTTTCCCCACTGAGTAGGTTACATGTGACCTTTGTTACGTTAAGGTATGTTCCCTCTACACCGAGTTTGTGGAGAGTTTTTATCATGAAACGGGTGTTGGATTTTGTTATGCGTTTTTCTGCATCTGTTGGGACGGTCCTGTGAGTTCACCCGTGACCGTGTTCATCCGGTGGGCCCCGCGGGCCGGCTGGCGCGCGCTGAGCCGCCTTCGCGTCCCTGGAGTAAGCCCCGTCTGGTCGCGGCGCACGGTCCTCACACGCATTGTCGCGTCTGGCTCGCTGATACTTGGTTGAGGATTTGTACGTCTGTGTTCATCAGGGATGTTGGCCTGCAGGTTTCTTACAATATCCTTGTCTGGTGTGGGCACCTGGGCAATACGGGCCACATCAAATGAGTGTGGGAGTGTTCTCTCTCCTTTTTAATTTTTTTTTTAAGATTTTATTTATTTGCCCTGGCTGGCATAGCTCAGTGGATTGAGCGCGGGCTGCGAACCAAAGTGTCGCAGGTTCGATTCCCAGCCAGGGTACATGCCTGGGTTGCAGGCCATAACCCCCTTCCTTCTCTAAGAATAAATAAATAAAATCTTAAAAAAAAAAAAAAGTAAAAAAAAAAGATTTTATTTATTTATTTTTAGAGAGGGAAGGGAGGGAGAAAGAGAGAGGGAAACATCAATGTGCGGTTGCTGGGGGCCATGGCCTGCAACCCAGGCATGTGCCCTGACTGGAAATCGAACCTGCGACGCTTTGGTTCACAACCCGTGCTCAATCCACTGAGCTACGCCAGCCAGGGCCCTTTTTAAATTTTTGAAAGACTTTGGAAAGGATTGGTATTGGTGTTTCATTAGATGGTTGGTGGAGTTCACCGGTGAAGCCATCTGGTTCTGGACTTTTGTTCGTGGGGAGATTTTTGCTGGCCAGTTCAATCTCCTCGCTAGCACTTGGTCTGTCGTGCGGGTGACGACGTGGGGGGAAGTGCCAGGGTCGCAGTGTCCATCCGGTGTGGTGGCCGCTCGACCCTTGTGGCTACTGGGCACTTGGAATGTGGCCAGTGTGACTGTGGAACTGAATTTTACATTTTATTGATTTTAATTCATTTAAATGTAAAGACTGGCAGTTTAGTTATTGGAAAACTATTGTTTGGGACAACCTCGACTGTGAATTTGTGTTTCAGCTATAGTAGTTCCTCTTATCGGTGGTTTTGCTTTCTGCGATTTCAGTTACCCACGGTCAGCGGGGGTCTGAAAATACTACACGGAAAATTCCATCTGTAAGTGACTCATGAGCTCTAAATTGTGCGCTGTCCTCAGTAGCGTGATGAAATCTTGTGCTGTCCCACCTGGGACAGGAATCCTCCCCTTGCCCAGAGTCTCCGAGCTGCGTACGCTACCCTTGTTCACCACGTGGTAGTTGTCCGGACTCCTAGAGGGGATACCAGAGAGACAGAGAGAGGCGGAGAGGACCACATTCGCAACACTTCATGGCAGCGTATTGTGATGTTCTGTTTTATCATTAGTTGTCTTTGTTAGCCTCTTACTGCGTCTGATGTATATACATCACTGTATCACAGATGTGCAAGTATAGGGAAAACAGCATACATAGTGTTTGGTACCACCTTTGGTTTCAGGTACCCACTGGGGCATCTTGGAATGGCCCCCCAACCCCGTGGATAAGGGGGCTACTGTATACATTTCAAGAAATCTAGATACAAGCAATTCATGAAATTTAAGTCCATCTAAAATATTTCTGATGAAAATATGTCTGAATTGTGATGCACTGTGAGTGAAAAATAACAATACACTGGGCTTGAAAGACTTGATATGACAAAGGAACAGAAAATGTCTCACCAATACTTTTCATACTGGTGACCTACTTAAGTGATAATATTTTGAGTGTCTTGAGTTAAATAAATACATGATTAAAGTTCACATTTAGAAAATATTTTGAGGCGAATGAACATGGGAATGCCACACACCAAAATGTATGGGATGCGTGTAAGCCAGGAGTAAAATTTGCAGCTATAAACACTTGCATTAAGAAAAGAATAAAGACCTCAAATCAGCCATCTAGCCTGTCGCCTTAAGGAATGTGAAGGAGAAGAGCAGCTGATACTCAGAGCAGAAGGAAAGAAGTAACAAAGGCGAGAGCAGAGCTAAATGAACAGAGACTAGAAAAATTATAAAGAGGATCAATGAAACCAGAGGTTGGTTCCATGAAAAGACCAGTAAATTGTCAAATCTGTAACTGGATTGAACAAGAGAAAAAGAAGGAAGACTCAGATTTTTAAAATCATAAATAAAAGTGGGGGAATCACTACCAGCCATACAGAAATAAAGAAGCATTATAAGGGAACAGTATGGTACATTGCATGCCATTAAGATACATAACCTGCATAAAATGGACAGATTCCTAAAAGACACAAACTACCGGAAACTGACTCAGGAAGAAATAGAAAATCTGAATGGACCTGTAACAAGGGAGGCAATCAAATTAGTTTTCAAAAGCACCCACAAAGAAAAGCCTAGGTCAGGATGGCTTCCCTGGTGAATTCCACCCAACGTTTCAAGAAGAGTAACATCAACTTTTACAGCTCTTCCAAAAAATGGAAGAGAAGGGAACAGTTCCTTTCATTTTGTGAGGGCTGTCTTATCCTAGTTTCAAAAGCAAAGAACTCACGAGAAAGGGAAACCTACAGAGCAATACCCCTTAAGAATAGAGATGCAAAATCTCTCCGTAAAATATTAGTGAACCCAATGCAGTAACTCACAGAAAGGGCTACACCCATCACGCAGTGGCGCTGGTCCCAAGCACGTGAGGCTGGTTTAACGTACGAACACAAGTCAGGGGAACGTGCCACATTAAAGGAGTAAAGGGCAAAAATCACTTGAGCATTTCAAGAGATGCAGTTGACAAAGTCGAACAACTTTTCACGATGAAAACCCTGAATAAACCAGGCGTAGAACTTCCTCCGTCTGATAAAGGCCATTTGTGGAGAACAGCTGACGACGCTCCCTGGGAAGAGGTGGGATGCTTGCCCCTTAAGGTCAGGACCACGACAAGGATGTCTGCTCTTGCCACCTCTTTTTTTTTTTTTTTAAGATTTTATTTATTTACTTTTGGAGAGAGGGGAAGAGAGGGAGAGAAACCTAGGTGTGTGGTTGCCTCCTGCGCACCCCACCGAGGACCCGGCCCGCAACCCAGGCCTGTGCCCTGACTGGGAATTGAACCGGTGACCCTTTGGTTCACAGGCTGAGCTCAATCCACTGAGCCACCCCAGCCAGGGCTCTTGTCACTTCTATTAAACGTGTACTTGAGGTTCTAACAAGGGCAGATAGGCACGAAAAGAAGCAAGAGGTGTTCAGTGGGAAGGAAGCAGTAAAACTCATTCACAGGTGACGTGAGCATGTGCGTGGAGGGTCCTCCGGAGGTTGGGGGGAGACTGTTAGCACTAATAGATGAGTTCAGCCAGGATTTCGTTGCCAACACTTCAAAGCGTGGTATTTTCACATACAACCCTGGATGTTTGGCTTCTCCTGAGGACTGAGGAACTGCCTTCCTGCGTGGCTGCCCCCTTATGCAGGGTGGGAGTCCTGCGGTCCCCTGCAGTTCGCACCGCCCCGTACTGCCGCGCACCAGCCCACTTGGTTTATTTCCAGTGTCTGTGTGTCTCCCTCTCTGTTACCTGTCTCTCTGTCTCTCCATCCATCCATCCATCTATCCACCCATCTGTCCATCTGTCTGCCCATCCATCCACCCGTCCATCTGCCCGCCCGCCCACCCGCCCCGGAGGGCTGCTCTGAGCTGTTCGTTTCCCTGGGGGGCTGGGAAGCAGAGACCTTTCGACAACCAAGTGCGGGAGCTGCAGACCCTCTGGGCTGCCGCCTGAGCCTAAGCAGACTTCTCCCTCTTTCCCAGCCCGAGAACATCCTGTGTGTCAACCAGACGGGGCACCAGATAAAGATCATTGACTTCGGGCTGGCCAGAAGGTGAGGGCGCTGCCCTTCGGCGCCTGGCAGGGCGCCTTGGGGAGCGCGCTCGGGCACGGTTACCTACGGCTCGGCCAGTCTTTGGGTTTTGGGGCTGACGCAAGCAAGTTCTCTCAAGAGGAGGGGGGCCGCCTTAGGCTGTGACCACCGCAGGGGCGGCTTTGCATGGGCCCTGCCTCTCCTTCCGACACCCGCGTGAACCTAGAGGGGGGCGATGGATGGTCAAAGGAGGCGCTGAGTGGGCGCATGGTGCGGCTTAATTCCGTTTGTTCCCTGGCCTCCTGGGCCCAGGACGGCTGGCCCGTGCGATGTCACCGTCACCAGCCCTGCCCTCCCAGAAAGGACCAGGTTAAGTGGGAAAGTGTGTATGTGACCGTGTAGGGTTTGGGTCACTCGGGGCTGGCCTGGGCCCTGGTGACAGAGTGATGCAATCAATGCAGCCCCTGCCGATGGGCGGTGACAACGGTTAGATTAGGAATACACGGCGGTGCAGAGCCATCCCGGGAGGGCGGTCAGGTGCTCAAGGGTCAGGGCAGAGAGTGAGCGTCACACGTCGTTTTCAAACATCTGAAAGTCCTTAACATGTCGGACACTCAGTGGAGCACAGTCTCACCGCTGGGTCCTGCGCAGCCGCGTGTGTGGGCGACACCGAGCCTCTGCCCGCCTCCAGGCCCTGGCTTGCACACCCCGCCCCTGGGTCCTCAGCCGTAGCAGCAGCAGACCCTTGGCACTGGACGGACTGTCTGTCAGTCACATGGTGCCTGGCCAATAGAAAGTTGCATCACAATTTTTACATTGGCACTTTATTTTCTTAGAGCAGTTTTAACTTCACAGAACAACTGAGGGCAGGAAGCGGAGTTTTCCCACAGACCCCCTGCCCCGCGCGTGCAGAGCCTGTCCCGTTACCAACGCGGGGGGCCTGCTCTGACCCGCCGGCGCCACCCGAGGCCAGGGGCACTGCGGGCGACACAGAGCGCGCACCTCCACACAGCCCCCCCCCCCCCCAGTCTGGGCCCTGGCCGGGGAGGGTGGAGCGGTGGCCTCTCCGTGTCCGATGGTAGAGGCCTGGAGGGGTGGGCTGTGCTTTCTGATTCTCCCTGGGGACTCGGGGGAGCCTGAGTCGGGGCCTGGGGCTGAGCACTCCCAGCCCCGCCTCTCCCCCTAGGGCTGACTCCCGCGGTCCCCTCGAGGTCCCCTCACAGCCCGTCCGGCCCCCGCCATCCCCTAGGTACAAGCCTCGGGAGAAGCTGAAGGTGAACTTCGGCACTCCCGAGTTCCTGGCTCCGGAGGTGGTCAACTACGAGTTTGTCTCGTTCCCCACGGACATGTGGAGTGTGGGCGTCATCACCTACATGCTGTGAGTGCCCGGCGGGGCCGGGGTGTCTGGACTTCTATGGAAGTACCAAAACTCTGAGTGCAGGCCGTTCACTGGGGAGGTGTGCCCAGGAGACACTGAGAGTGGGGAGGTGCGGGTGGGGGGCGTAGCCAGTAGAGGGCGCTGGGGAGCCGGTCACCCTGTGGGCACTGCCCTCCATCCTAGAGAGAACTCGAGGTCTGTCGTGAACGCTCACTTCCTCAGTTACGCCATCCAGGGCAGGGAGATGGGGGTTTGTCCACCAGCTCTTCTCCGTTAGGGCCTGGGGCTCACCCCGGGGGCCCTAGTTCCTGAAACTCCCCGTCCCCTGGGCAGAGAGCTCTCCAGCAAAGGACTTCAGGTGGGCCGTGCAGGTGGGGCCGCTGGGGTGCCAGGGCTGCTGTCTGCCACGCCGTCTGCTGGGGCCCTCCCCTGCACTCCATGTCCTGCGGGCTGACCAGGCAGGGCGACCATGGGCTGAGAGATTGTGTCCTCCTCCCTGGGGACTTCCCTCGGCTGTCCCCTGGGCCCGTGCGGTCAGGCTTCGCTCCAGCCATGCCATTAGGCCTCGCTGTGACCGTGTCCCCACGCTCTATGTGTGCGGGGGGGGTGGGGGGAGGTGCAGCCCCAGGCCGGCCAGTGAGGGTGCCCTGCCTCTCTGCCCCAGGCTCAAGGCCTGGGGAGTATGGAGCCCCGCTAGGGTCTCAGACACGTGCTAAGCTGTTTAAATGAGGCCACTTTTACCCGACACACGCACTTTGGGTGGGCCCTGGGTTATTCTTTTCTCCGGGGCTAGGGGGGCGGCGGCTGTGTTCCTCCGGCTGTCCGAGGTTCGGTCCTCCCTCCCTCTCCCCGGGAAGCCCCCTGGCGGCGTGAGGCAGGGGCTGTCCTCCCGAGGACCCCCTTTGGTCCGGTGGCTCCCGCTTGGACCTTGCGGGGCCCCTCCGTGTCCCGTCGTTGCACGTTGGCGGACGTGGCTTCCACAAGCTGATGGTCCTTTCTCTCCTCCACAGGCTCAGCGGTCTGTCCCCGTTTCTAGGGGAAACCGACGCGGAGACCATGAACTTCATCGTGAACTGCAGCTGGGATTTCGACGCTGACACCTTTGAGGGGCTGTCGGAAGACGCCAAGGACTTTGTGTCCCAGCTGCTGGTCAAAGAGAAGAGGTAGCTCTGCGGCCTGTGGTTCATAACGCGTTCTGATGGTGACCGCCGGTGACGGTCGGTGACAGTCAGGTGTGCCGGGCAGGTCTGTCCCAGATCTCTTAGTCCGCTCCCTCTTCGGGGCAAAGAGGGAGCAGGGACCGCGATGAAGGAAAAAACTGAAAAACAGCACCTGGGAGCGTAACCTCTAGATGGAGCTTTATTGTTTTTTTTCTTTTTCTATTTCTCTCTCTCTCTCTCTCTCTCTAGATGTAGTCTCTTACAAAGGGCCATGTTTACAAACTAGTCCCGTGTCTGAGTTACTGGTGTTCATAGACGAACGCCGGAGAAAAGCTGAGCTGGGCAGTGTGACTTCCCAGGACCAAGGCCAGGAAACCGCCTCTCTGGCGGTGGGGGCCTGCTCGGCGCTCAGCAGCGGCGTCAGTGTCGTGGGCGGGGCCACCCCGTTTTCTGATTCTCGGGCGTTGGGCACCCCCGGGGTGAGGGCCACGGTCGGGGCTCCGAGACAGCTCTGGGTCCCGCGGCCTTCGCTGTCCGTTCCTCTCTGAACGCGGAAGGTTACGGGAGGGAAGGTAGTTCCAGTTCAGGTGAGCGGGTGGGCGTTGTTGTCTGGAAGGAGCGGACTTGGGCTCCTGGTCAGGGAAGGTGCCCCCCCCCCCCTCACCCCTGCGACGTCTGTGTGGTCTCGCAGCTGCAGAATGAGCGCCACCCAGTGCCTGAAACACCGGTGGCTGAGTGACCTGCCGGCGCGAGCGTCCATGTCTAAAGTGGGCCTGAAATCCCAGCTCCTGCTGCAGAAGTACATGGCGCACCGCAAGTGGAAGGTACCTTCTTCCCCTGGGTGCAGGGGGCGTGTCCTTTGACAGAACGGTAGCTCAGCTTCTCCTTACATTTGGATTCTAAATAGAAGACTGTTTAAAGGGGGAAAAAACCCCTCCTAGGTCGACGCCTGCTAACTTCAGTTCAAACGACAGCACAGACCCGGTGCGCCTGGGCGTGAGAGGAGCATTCGGTTCGCACTTAGGGGGACACCTGGGGGACGGAGTGCGGTCAGAGCGCAGGCCTCGGCGAATCCGCGTGTCAGAGGGCGCGGCCGGGGAGGCGCGCTTTGGAAGTTGTGTGTGCTGTTTGCTAATGACGGAACTCCTGGGGGCCAGGGACGCACAGTCTGCCCTAAGGGCCGCCGTCCTCCGGGGCCGCGGCTTCCCAGCACTTCCACACTGACTCAGACTCCTGTTGAAAAACCAGAGAGTGCCTCACCCACAGACCCAGCCCAGCAGCCGTGCGCATGAGTCACACGCACACGCGAGTCACACGCACACGCGAATCACACGCCCCATGCTGGCTTCCCCAGCCGGGATGCGCTCTGATGTTTCCTTCGACACTTGCTTTCCTTCCGACACATTCTGGTCCGAACCCTCGGATTTGATCGTGGGGCCCCGCCCCCCACCCTGTGGGCTCCGTTTTCCGTGGAAAAGGGCAACGACACACGATCTCACTTCTCACTTCGTACTCGCTCCAGAAAGTCACGTGACTGGTTCACCGTGCGTTTGCTGAAATTTCAGTTTCCCCTTTTATCAGCTTTAAAGGAACTCAAATGCCTCACTGAAGTCCTTTTATGTATTTATTTTTTTTAATTGGTCTAAGAATATGCCTGCTTCCCTTTTTCTCTCTCCGTTCCTCCAGAAACATTTCAACGTGGTGACCGCAGCCAACAGGTTAAGGAAGTTCCCATCCTGCTCCTAAGGCCCGACTCCGCTGCTCACCTGGGCCGGGAAGGCACCGAGACCAGCGGCGACGCGAGGGCTGGAGGTTTCAAACCATCGGGCCTTTGGCTAATACCGATCCCACTTATTTTGTAGAGAAGGCGACGGTGGTTGCCTTCCTTGTGGAAGAAAAGGGGGCTCTAAAGACAGTGCCTGGAGAGCTTTTTTCTGCCTTAGCAGGCCACTGAGCTTGAACTGCCTTGTTGCTCCCCAAGTGTAGGCGCTGGGGGGGTAGGAGCTGGGGGGGTAAGCGTGGGCGCGCTGTCCGTAGGTAGGGAAGCTTGTGTTTGCGCGGGCCGGGGCGGGGTTCTGAACATGCCGACTCAGGAACGGGGCGTGTCGGTGGGTCAGCGGCATCTCCCGTCGCCGCACCTGGAGCTCCTGCCAGTCCGATTGGCTCGCGGGTGGGCGGACGTGACCCCGTGGGCCCCGCTCCCGGTGCAGCAGCGCGGACTCAGGGCAGTGGGCCCCCCGCTTGTTTGACCCTGGGCTCCCTCGTGGGAACCGAAACGTGCAATGTTTAGTAGTCTTCCACGTTTCAGAATGTGCAACCGTCCTAGCGAAACCGGAACAAGGGTCGTTTTGAATGTGCTTTTAAAGTCTCCACCCACCCCCGGCCCCTCCCAATTCCGCCCTGTCCGGCGCCCGCTGACGCCCCGCCCTCGGCCGTGAATGGGGGTCCGGGGGGCCTGGGAACCGACGTGCAGTGTGGGAGAGAGGAGAACAGGGCAGACGGGCACCTTGCGGAGGGAGACGTTAGTGAGGGTGCGCACTGGCCGTGCAGCTGCCCTACCCAGCGCCGAACAAGGAGTCCTTCGCTGTTCGGACGCCAACAGTCCTTCTCATGTCCTCACTTCTCACCCGACGATCTGTTCCGTTCCCACCGCAGCCCCTCGGGGCAGCAGTTTTAGTCGGAGTAGTCACTTTGAGTTGTTAATTAGCCAACAGTTTCTAAGCCTTTCAGGATTTCTGTCCACATAAGGACAGGTTTTGGGCAGGAGGCCTGGGTGTGGGGGTTCGTGCTGCCGTGGTAGCTCTCAAGTTGGCTGTCCTGGTCGGAACCGGGATGATCAGGGCCAGCATGGTGGGCCTGCTGCAAGCCTGCGGCCCCGGGACCTGGGAAGAGGTGGCCTCGTCTGGAGACCGCCCTGTGCGGAGCCGAACAGGGGGTTGGTGGAATGCTCGGTGGTGAAGCAGAGGCCACCTCTCTGCAGAAGGCTGATTTGAGGGCACCTCGCAGAAGGCGCTGGTTACAGGGGGCGTCTTGTGAGTGGGTGAGTCTCAGCCTCTTTGCGAGTGAGGTCCTTGGGGAACGCTCCGGATCGTCCCCAGAAACATGGAGTGCGCCCCTCGGATCCACAGCTGCACGGCGCGCAGGAATGTGGTACGAGCCATCTGCATACCTGAGTAATTTCTGATAGCTCCTTCAGAAACGGAAACCTGGTGAAATAAACTGGAGTAATTTATTTAACACAGTGTGACTCAAACGCATTATTTCCATATGTAATCAGCATAAAAATGATTGAGACACTTTAGAGTCTTTTTTTTTATACCGAGTCTCCAAGATCTGGCGTATGGTTTACACTTACAACACATTCCCACTCGCATGCTAGGTTCTCATCAGACACACTTAACTGGTGTTTAGCTTTCAACAGAATTCGCTGTGGAGAAATACTCAAGTTGTGTGAAATATCTTAACCATTTTCTAACTGAATTAAGCGTCTAGTTTTACATTTACTTAAAGTTGAATTAGAAACTCAGTTCTGTAGTTGTATTAGCCAGTTTTAAGTGCCTGATACTCACAGGTGGATTGTGGCTTCTGTGTTGAACAGGTCAGAGAGAGAACCTTTATCTGCCCAATCTTATTTTCTCCACCACAAGCTGCCACTTTTCACCCACAGTTTCTCTCCAAAGTCCCCTTGCAGCCCACACAAGTGACTGGGGATGTGGATTTTCGCCTCCCTTATCTCAAGTTCTAAAGCTTTTATGAAGCTTTGATTTTCTCCTTTTAAAAGATTTTATTTACTTTTAAAGGGAAGGGGAGGGGGGGAGGAGGAGGGAGAGAGACACCGTCCGTGCCGAGCCAAACTCCGTGTTGCCACGTCCCCGTGGGGGACCCGCTGCAGCTCCAGGCGGGTCTGAACTGACAGGCGTCTCCCCGTTAGTGGAGCGACCGACGCTTCCACGCGCACCCAAGTTTCCCGGGATGGGCGAGGAACCGAACGGGGGTGTGTGGGAAGCAGGTGATGGGGAGAGGGGGTGTCCACTTTTCAGCACTGGTTTTTTTTTACAGTGAGCGTGCGTTACCGTTATCATTAAAAAGCAGCGACTCCGACGTCCAGCGTGGACCTTGTTCTGACCCTCACTGGAGCGAACAAGAGAAGGGTATTTTAGAGACATCCAGGGAAGTGCGTTTCTAACTTGCTTATTGGGTGACGATAGACTTTCTGTTGATGCGGGGGCCTGGTGATGGCGACCCTGGAGGTGGGGTGACTGCAGGAGGAAAGGAGGTGTTCGTCATGCGGGCGTGGCAAGTGCTCATTAGCCGTCGGGTCTGGCTGATCGGTTTGAGGTTTGATCACGCTGTTCTCTTTGCTGTTGTATGTATTTGAAAACTTTCACGATAGTTTTAAAAAAGTCAGTTAAACCACGAGGGGCTGTTCAAGGACTGGGCTTCCCAAAAGCCTTTTCGACAGGAAACAGATGGACTCTCGGTGAGTGGTGAGCTCCCTCACCGGGAGTGTGAGTGGGCTGAGAAGCTGCCGTAGAAAGAATTCCTGCCCTGGGCCCTGGGCGGGCGGTTGGAGAAGACTGCTTTAAGGCAGTTCCCCCGCCCTCCAATAGTCTAAGAAATAACCAAGCACCCACTGGGACCCCGAGAATCCAAACACCTACCGCCACATGTTTATCTGTACGGCGGTGCAGGGGGCAGGAGTCCGATGGGGTTGACGGCGAGGGGGTGCCCAGAGAACAGGGAGGAAACTCCGGCGGGGCTGGGCCAGGCCTCCTCCAGCTCAAACCCCCTGGGCGGGCTCCCAGGTCCCGCGACAGGTCGGTGCCTGAGAGCAGATAAAAGGCCGCCGTCGGGATGGATAACCACTCTGAGGAGGTTTTCAATATTCGGCTGCGTCCAAAATATTAAAATCTTTAACCGGACCGTGTAGACTTTAGTTAAAACCCTGTCTGGCATAACTCAGCGTCCATAGCAACTTATCTTCCACGAAGGCCCTTGCCCGGAGCTTTAAAATAAGTAGCACTTGGTAAGGGTACATTTCTCAGTACGTGGAAATGAAAGGAATAACCCTTGGTCCACTTGGCGTTTAACCCGGAGCAAACGTGTAGTCCACCGAGCGAGAGCCGTGCACATGCGTCTCTGCTATAATGTGTACCGTGTACCGGCGGGCGCCGTGCTGGACACCTTACGTGTGACAACTTGGACTCTCCCCGCAGTGAGCATGGACGCCGTCTCCAGCCCCACGGGCGGATGAGACCTCCAGTGGGGAGCGAACCTGCTCACGGTCACACGGGGCAGCACCCCTAGCCCCCCAAGTCTGCGCTCTGCTGAGCAGCACGGCTTGGCCTGCAGCCCCCGGGCTGCTTTCCTGCCTCGGCGGACAGCTTTGGACGCGGCACGGCCTCCCCAAAGTGAGGGCAGAGGCAACTTGAATACATATAAAAACATTTATTTTTAAAAAATTTTTAAAAGACAATCTCTCTTTTTTTAAAGATTTTATTTATTTTTAGAGAGGGAAGGGAGGGAGAAAGAGAGAGAGAGAAACAGCAATGTGCGGTTGCTGGGGGCCGTGGCCTGCAACCCAGGCATGTGCCCTGACTGGGAATCGAACCTGTGATGCTTTGGTTCGCAGCCCGCGCTCAACCCACTGAGCTACGCCAGCCAGGGCTAAAAACACATTTATTAATGAGGTTGCACCATATATTGCTGCTTTAGTCAAACCAAGAGACTGACACTAGAACTCAAGTAAAACCTGTGAGCCTCCCTTCAGCCTGAGTTTTGAGGCCAGGACAGGCGCCCTGTCTCCCGCTCACAGCCCCACGGCCCCCACCCCGCTCTGTGGGCGGGCCGGCTGGCGGGAGTGCAGCTGTGCCACCCGGGACCGGGCCGAGCTAGTGAAAGTGTCGCCCGGGCCAGGGCCCGGCCCAGGGCCCGGCCCACTGCCTGGAACTCGGCCCCGGTGCGGGTGTCCTTGCCGTCAGGGTGACAGCCCCAGGGCCCTCGCGCCCAGCTCCTGGAGCACCCGCACCTCTGCCCAGCGGAGTCGGGGTGCGAGCCGAGTCAGGGTGTGGCCCGCGGCCGTCTGCAGGCGGGACTCACTCCGCCGCGGCCGCCTGCGCTCTGGCGGCGTTTTCCAGAATCTTCCTCTTCCACTCCTCGTAGTCCAGCGGCTGGTCTTCAGTGGGCTGCGGTTTACGCGGGGGCTCTGCTGCCGTCTCTGTTTCTGCGAGGGGAAATTTTCAAAAGCGTTTCAAAATTTACAGATGACACGAGAAAAAGTAAGCTGCTTCCACAAGTGTCTGACTGTGAAGGTGACAGGGAACAGGCAGGGAAGTGTGGAGTGGAAGCCGCAGCTCACCCCCCAGACTTCCGCTGTGCATCCCGCACCCGAGACGCCGTGACAACAGGTAGCACTTCGCAGGCACGGGGACTGCGTCATCTCACTCCGCCCCCCCCTCGGTTCCAGGGAATGGGAGCTGGCGGGTGCACCCGTCTCAGATGTGGAAGCCGTGGCTCTCAGAAACTAAGTGGTGCGCTTCTAACCGCAGCCAGGACCGGTGGGGCAGGGTTTGAGCCCAGGCTGCCTCCAGCTGTGTCCTCAGTGACACTGCCCCCCCCCCCCGCCCAACAAGTGTAACTGCGAGGCACAGGCTGCGCACTGCCCGTGCCCTCCGTGCACGCCTTCCACGCTCGTCCGTGCAATGCCAGCCCCTTACCCCGTGCTCCTGGAGGTTCAGCTGCTGTCTTCTTTCTCTTCCACGGCGGACTTCCTGAACCTTGAGGGTCTCCTTTAAGGGGGAAAAAAAAGTGTCAAGGTTAATTTTTCTGTTCTCCGTTTTAGTATTTGGACATATTTTGGATGACAAAAACTAGAGTCCGTCCTGGCCGGGTGGCTCAATTGGTTAGAGCGCTGTCCTGACGTGTTGGGGTTGTGGGTTCGATCCGCAGTCAGGGCACATGAAAGAATCCACCCGTGTGTGCACGGATGGGTGGAGAAACAAGTTGATGTTTCTCTCTCTCTTCCCCAATTGCTCTCTCCCTAAAAACAAATTAAAAATAAACCAAAAACAACAACAAAACTAGATCCTTGACTGACCAAACACCAGGAGAAAGGAGGCCTCTCTGGCCTCCCTGGTCAGACTGGAGGTCACCCCCAGACCACCGGACACGCACAGAGGCTGGCGCCTAGCATCGGGGCGCGTGAACAGAGACACTGTTTCCCAGGCCCGGGCTCACGGAGTCACTGGCTCCATAAAAATGACTGAGCCACTTTAACGGAACAACAGGGAAAGCAATGTTCTCACTAAGAACCTATCAGGTCCACATTAAACATGGAATTCAGGAAGCACCACTTTTTGATTCTGAAAACACCGGACTTTCAGTGGCGGGGTTCCGTCTTCACACAGCACGCTCTCGAAACACGGAATGTGTACTCACTGTCCACCTGCTGCCCGATCTTCTCCAGCTGTTTACACAGTCGGTCGAATATGGCTTTTTTCACACCAGATGCAGCTACCATTTTATTTTTATCCACCTTTAGCTTTAAGATCCTACAAAAGAATTTGATAAATTAGTTCTGGAGACCAGTGCGATTATTTTGTTTTCTTTTTTCTTTTTCTCTTTCTTTCTTTCTTTATTTTTTAAAAGATTTTATTTATTTATTTTTAGGGAGAGAAGGGGAGAGAGAGAGAGAGAGAAACATCAATGTGCGGTTGCTGGGGGTTATGGCCTGCAACCCAGGAAAGTACCCAGCTGGGAATTGAACCTGGGACACTTTGGTTCCCAGCCCGCGCTCAATCCACTGAGCTACACCAGCCAGGGCTCTCTTTTTTCTTTTTAAATGGACAATCACAAGTGCCCGCCGTTTGAATGACAGACTCGTCAGTTACAAGAGGCACACACCGGAAGGGAAACGCTCAGGTTGTACGTGCGGCCCCCACGTGGAAAGCGGCCTTCTGGGAACACAGCTTTCCAGGTGTCAGTTGCCTTGTGGGACAAACCGAGTCTGGAAACTTCGCCATTGCCCCCAGTGTGGTATACACAAAAAAGCAGGCCGAGCTGCAATCGATCAGACTAGCGGTGTGACCCGGCGGCGAGACGTGCGCCCCGAAGGGCGGCCCCTGCGCACGCACAGACCCTCACCTGCAGGCCGTGAGCAGTGCGGCGGCCGTGAAGAGCGGCCTGGACAAGTCCAGGTCTGCCTGCTGCGTCTGGGGGAGGCTGGACTCGTAGCTGCGGGAAGGCAGTGTCAGCAGAATGGCTTGTTAGAAAACAGTGTCTCAAAGGGACAGAAAATGCAAACCAGAACTTAAAAATGTATGAGCTGTGCATCCTACCACTGGAGCACATTGGTTATTTTTTAACGCTGAGAATCAGCAGGGCATTGGCTAACGTCAGTAGGGAGACACTTCAGTGAAGGCCCTGGGGCCTCGTACCTTTGCAGCACCTGTGAAGCCAGGCTCACCGCTTCGGTGCAGCCGAACTGCACCGCTAGGTCTCTTATGCCGACACTCGAATTCAGGCCCAGCAAACACTCAAAAGATTTCAGGCAGCTCTGGTACGTCTTCTTGTTCAAACCGGAAAGTGTAGTTAAATACGCCTTTGAGAGGAAACACAGGCACGAACCGTAAGTTCTGTCTGTTAGTGCCTCCACCCCTCCAAGCTGATTCTGCGACCTGTCTCTGCTTAGAGGCTCAGCTCCGTGCGGTCCGCACATGCACACTCACACATGCACACGCCACTACACACGCAGTGCCACTGCAGCCGGGCTGCAGCCCAGGTGCCCAGGGGCCCACGTGCAATTCCCTGGGGGTGGGGATGGGGAGGGAAGAGGGAAACCAGGAGAGAAACGGAGGGTCAACAACGGAGGAGAACCGTCTCTGCCTGGACCTCATCAAGGAGGGGGCAGGGCCGTCCAAGTCCGACGGCAGCCCCCGTTCCCCCCACCTCCAGGCCGGGAAAGGGCGCTGGCTGCAGTCGTTCAAGTGCAGCGTCTGCAGAGGGAGCTGGGCAGGCTGAGGTTCGAGTTAAGAAAAGGCCGGTGAGTTTGCCACCCACTGGGAGCCCAGGGCATTGCTAATGACATTTAATGAGCGTGTCATTTTGTGACCGGTATGGCGTTAGGTGTGCAACACACGGTGCACTATTCAATCCCCGCAGTGACCCGGAGGATTCGAAGACGCTCCCAGCCCTGCCCCACAGATGAGGGCCCTGGAAGCTCACAGGGCCAGTGTGAGATCCAGTCTCAATGCGTGACCCAAGTCCCTAGCCTGTGCCCTCAATCCCTGTGACACCGAAGGAAAAACACGCATGGGTTTCTGCGTGTGGGCCTCAGGAGGCGGCCTGGGAAATGAGATGGTCAAGAGTACAGGGAATGCTGCAAAACCTTCCTTCCTCTCCAACTTGACAAAATGGTTCTAGAGTTCACCTAGAGTGATAACAGCCAGGAAACTTCCAAAACCATCAGAGCTTGGACGGGGGCCAGTCCAGCCAGAAACGGACGTCTGGTCACCCCGGGGACGCTTACCCTGTCCAGGGGGCACCGCGCGCAGGCCGCGGCCAGGTCCAGGCACACGGCCGCCCGGCCGGTCTCCGTGGTGCGTGCAGACAGCCCGGCGCACTTCACCTGCGACAGCCGCAAGTACTCCTCCGCTTTCCTGGGCAGAAGGGCAGCGCGGTCACTCGAGTCTTTCCCAGAAGTCTGTCCCACTCTTGGGCAAACTGAACCCAGCGGGTGGGCCTGACTCTGAGTCCTGGGCAACTTCCCGTGGGGCTGCGGAGGAAGCCCCCATCCTCTGGGGAGGGGCGTCGCGGTTTCGGACCCCACTGCGCTCAAGGACTACTTCCAGGCGAAGGAGGTTCTACGATTCCTCCCCAGACAACCCTTCTCCCTTCCCCACGCTCCTGGAACCGGCGTGAAAGCCCGCGGAGGCTGGCAGGTCGTGCCAGAGTTCCTTCTTTTAGCCTCTAGTTCAGTGGTGCTCAAACTTTAACGCGCGGGACAATCAATCACTCGCGGCGTCTGGAAACAGGACTGGGTCTCACCCCCAGCCTTTCCCAGCAGTGGGCGTGGGGCGGGACCGAAAACGGACTTTTCCCAACAAGGCCCGAGATGACACCGCCGCCGCCGGGAAGGAGCCCCACTTGAGAACCACAGCTCTAGATGGTAACCGAATCCAAGCGGCCTCAGTTCAAATCTTTCAAGAAGCGCCCCTCCCCTCCCCTCCCCTCCCGCCCGCTGCCCCGGGCCGGCTTCACGCCTGACCCTGGATCGTGCACGGTCCTCCCCATCCCGACGCGCTGGCACAGGCTGTTGTTACCTGAGCTCGGGCCGCTCTCCCTGCAACGTTCCAAGGCGGGCCCCTTCTATCATTCGGGTCTCAGCGCAAATGATACCAACCCCCCCCGCCCTATGCTTTTTGCAGGCCAGGCCGCGCTGGGTCCCGGTCGTTCCGGCCACCACTGTTCTGTTTTCTACGTAGTTCTGGCCAACACAGAGACCTCCGCGGGGCCTGTCTCCCATTCCTATGTTTCCCGATGCAGACAGACCCCGAAGCACTAGCTTAGGAATGACCGGAGCTCTCCGACTCTCGCCCGCCACCACCGCCGTGCACACCGGGGAGCCAGCTGCTCCCGGGGACCTCCACAGCCGGCCCCCGCCACCTCCCACAAGACGGCTGCTGGCCTACATCCCGCGGGAGAGATGCGCGGCTCACGGGCCCGGGGTCGCTGCGACGTGCGCGGCCGGACTCACCTCAGTACATCGGGCTCGGCGATGCCCAAGCGCCGGGCTAAGCGCGATACCAGCCCCGACTCCATGGCGCCAGCGAGACTCCAGCGCACCGCCGCCAGCGACGAAACGCGCGCTTCGACGCTGCGCCCTCCAGTGATGGGCGGGCTCCACCCCTCTGCTGCATCCGGATTGGTTTGGACAGGCCGCCCCGCATGCCAATCAGCGGCTTCCTTCTGCGCATGCGCACTCGAGTGCACACGCCACTGGGAACGGGAAAAAGTGGTTCTCTTTCCGTCCTCCGTTCCTCACCAACTCGCTAAACCGTTGCCTTTCCCTTTTGCTAGCTTCTTCCTGTCTCCCAGCGAGTCCCTACTCCTCGGCACCGCCCCGCCCTCTCCCACTCTGTGGAGAGACTGGTTGGCGCTTCGGTCTGTCAGGCAAGAGCCAATAAATACGCGAGACTTAGCTTCTTAGAAGCGGGCCAATCGAGGAGCCGCCTGCCGGCCAGGGGGCGGGGCTACAGAGGGCGGGGCTTCGAGGGGCCGTCGCGTCACCTGACCGCGGGAGGCTCCGCGCGCGGACGGTGCTGATTGCTGCAGGTCCAGGGGAGTCGCCATGGTGAGTGCGGAGGGCCGCCGGGCCCCGGGCGGACTCTTCTCCCAGCCCCTGCTCTCTCTCACTGCCCTGGAGCCTTGCGGACGGATTTGAGGCCCCGTCGCCCGATTCCGGTTCAGACCCGCCCGACTCGGCCTGCGGGGTGCGGGACAGGCCCGGGAAGGCCGCAGGCGGGCCGATCGGAGCCGGGGTGGGCGGTGGCTCCTGGGCGCAGCCGTGGCTCTGAAACGGGCGGCCGCTCCCAGGGGAGTCTCGGCCTGCAGGCGCCTCTGAATGCAGTCGGCCCCCGCCCCGCTGCGCCCTGAGCCCGGGAGCCGGGTCTGAGCGTCGGGCTGGGTCGGGGCGGTTCGGAGTGCCCTGGGCTCGGAGGTGGGATCGGGACCCGCCGGGAGTTGGCTGCCTTGCGGGCATCCCACCTTAGTGTCTGAGGGCCCCACGCCCTCTCTTGTGCGAGGAATACCGAGGGGCCGGCACGGTGCCCTGGGCTTTCTCGGCCCCGTCGCTCCTTTGACTGCAGTGCTTTTCAGCGATTTCTAGGGACTCGCTTACGTGAATTTCCTGGAAGGACTCGTGCTATCTGATAGCTAGTAACGTCTGGTCATTGGGCACCTTGGCTCTCTTATTGGTCTCCCCATTGACAAAATGCAAGGATTCCACTGGCTGGGAGTAGGCGTTCTCGGCGCCTGGGTGGCGGCGGCGGCGTAGCGTGGCGTGGCTGTTGGCCGGTAAACTGGAACTTCCTCAAAACGGGAACCCTTGCGCCTGGTTCCCACAAAGGCAAGTTGCCACTTGCATTTTATTGGCGTTTCACTGTAGCCTGCACCGTCTAAAGGATGCGCGGGCGCACTGCCTGTCGGTGTTAACGCTGTGGCTTTTCACTCTGCAGACCGGCTTGCGGAAGCTGGCTGCCCTTTAACTGCGTTCGTGCCAGGAAGCGGGATTCCGTGTTTGACATGTACTGCTTTCCTATGAGATGTGTCTGTGCAAGGTGATTGGTTGTGCATATTTCTCAGGGTTTTTGCAGCTGGTAGTTACTGTAAGAACAGTGCAGAAATTTCACCAGGATTTGTGTGTGGATCAATGTTTACGGGTTGACAAATGAAAAGCCGTGGTGGAGGATCTCCTGTACCCCAATTCTGGGCTGGGTGAACCGCTGGGAGCAGGGAGCCAGACGCCCAGGCCTGTCCTCAGGAATTTCACGGGGACGGAACGCTTGAGTACGGGCCTGGCACAGCCACTGTCTCTGCCTTGGGGCGCTCGGCCTTCTTTGAGTCTCACCTTTGTGTTGAGAACTGGTGCTGGCCTCTTTGGCGCTTCCCAGCCCTAAAATTCTAGGACTCAGCATCTGGGTGCCTCTGTGTCGGCCCTGGAAACGACAGGCCTTGCTCAGACGGAGCTCGGGCCTCTGGAGCAGTGGACGTGGGGGCGGGACTCAACGCAGCACAGTCTGAGGGTGCTGTACCAGTGCCGTCAGCTCTGCAGTGGGGTTGAGGTGTGGGGGCGACCATTCTGCCTGGGGACCCTGGGAAAGGCTGCAGGAAGTGCAGTGGTAACCTGGGAACCGAGACAGCAGGGGGCTGAGCAGAGATGCTCCGAGTGGAGAAGAAAGGGCATCGCAGCAGGTAAAGCCGGGAGGCGAGTGCTCCGGCGTGTGGGTCATCGTGTCCTGGGGAAACGGAGTCGGAGCTGGCCAGGTACTCAGACTGTGTCCCCTCACCATGCTCAGTTCCCCCGGCCCCAGCAGCTGTTTGTGCCGTACGGTATTTTCAGGAGCACTTCCTCAGCCTGGTGAAGCCCTGCGTCTGTGTGACGGGGGTCCTTTCACTCAGCAGTGGATCGGGGTCGTGCACTTGGGTTCCCTCTGCAGCATGGGGGGGGGCAGCTGGACCCCAGGTTGTCAGGATGAGTGGGGACCGGATCTTTGGGGCACATGGCAATAATAATGGTGACCCTTAGGAAGTGCTGATTGCTGAGTGCTGAGCACGTCTTGAGCTTCGACTCTCGCTTCATTCTGCTCTTCCCGAAGGTGATGTGAGTGCTTCGCTTTCCCTGTTTGGCAGAAGAGGAAATGGAGTGGCGAGCAGTTTCGTAATCGGGGAGTGCATGACGACCTTTGCTTTCTCTGCACCCTATAATTGTGTAGGCTTGGGAGGGCTGGGGGGCTCGGGTCTCAAGCTAAAACGGGCCTAAATCACCAGCGTTCATTTGGTCTGCATTCTGTCGTGTTTCCGTTTTCCTCTGGTCCACGTGGCTGCTGAGCGCAGAGTCCTTGTAAACGGAGAAGCGCGCTGGTGAGTGCGGAGACCGTGGTCATGGGCGTGTGCTCGCTGTGTCCTGCGCTCTGCAACATTGTCTCGGGAGCCCTCCCCGAGAACGCCTTTCTTCAGTAAGGCTTTATCTCGGTGTAGCCTACTTTGTAGTAAGTCGGTCATTTTTAAACCAAGTTGATACAAAATAGAAAAACTTTGCGAGGATTTCATTTATTTGTTTATAGATTACTGAATCTAGTTAGCTCTATATAAGTATTTTTGGAATTATTTGTAACCTCCTTATAAGCACAGTTTTATTAGCTATGGGAAGATGATCATTGTACGTAACAGCCAAAGGGGGAAGCAACCCCAGTGTGCGTCCACGGATGAACGGATAAACTGAACGTGGTGTGGGCCACGCTGGTGCGATGGGACGGAGTGTTCACTGCCCAGCCTTAGACAGGAAGTTCCGACACCTGCTGCAGCTCGGGTGGGCCCCGGCGGTGACCCGCCGGGGACAGGAGCCGGGCACAGAAGGACGGATCCTGCGTGGGTTCACTCACAGGCGCCCAGAGAAGTCAGACTCCTGGGGACAGGCGGGGAAATGGTGATGGCCGGGGGCTGGGGGACACAGGGAGTTCATGTCCCGGGGACCGAGTTTCCGTGTGGAAAGACCACGCGTGGTGGCCACGACGGGAAACAGCGTGAACGTGCCTGATGCCACCGAACCGTGCACCTGAAAATGGGCAAGGTGGCCAACTTCGTTGTGTGTATTTTAACACAATAAAACAGTAACCATAAAACTTTCCTGACGTGTCATCGCCACATCCGTAAGTTGGTCATCTGAACTTAATGAAACCCACTGATTCCAATAAGTTAAGTCTGTTGTATCCAGAGGGAACCAGTTCCCCCAAGAAATCCAAACCACAGCTGGTCACACTGGGATTCCCGGAGGCCCAGCCCGGGAAGAGAGGGAGTTGCGTTGGGGTGCGCCCCTCGGTGCCGGTGTGGCCCTGCCCCGGGGCTGTGGTCTGTGGAACCCGCCCTTCACACTGAGCGCTCCGCGGCGTGCCTTCACGCTCCCTTTCGGTCTGGTTTAGAAGACACAGTTTTTTCTCCGAGATCTGTTATGCTTCCGAAGAAGTGGGGGGTAGGGGAGCGCGTGCTACCGGAGTTTGCCTCAGGAAGGAGGAAGGGCCCCTGGCGTGGCTTACTCTTCAGTTACCCTTTTTCTCTTTCCAAGTTTAGACCAAGGAAGTTCTCCATCTTTGTGGGTGACTCTAGTTCAGAAGGGAGTTCTGTGGAGTTCTGTTCACCTCAAAGTCCAGGGTGGTTTGGACTGTCCTCCGTGATGGAACACACTAGACCCCTCGCCCCTGTCCGCTCGTGAGTGCCCGCCGCCTGCGCCCCCCGCAGGTGGGGTGCAGGTGCTCCTCTGTCTGTAGAGCCGTCCCTTTGCTAAGGCGATCCTCGCGTGACCCCAGGGTAGCCGTTAAAGAGCACAGCTCGGTGGCCTTCGGTGCGTTCACCGTGTCGCACGGCCACCGCCGCAGCCCGGTTCCGGAGCAGCGGCCTCGTCAGCCCAGGAGGAACCCCGTGTGCGTGCGACTGGAAGGCGGTGCGCTCCGTGCAGGGTGTGCACGCAGCGTCGGTCCTGCGGGCGGTGGATCCAGCTCGTTGTGTGAGCGGGGTCTTGCTGACGGCAAAGCGCATGGAGGAGCACCAGGTGGGCCGACAGTCCGCAGCTGTTCGTTTTCGTGGTGGTGGTGTTATTGTGTGGTTGGTTGTCCACACAAACAACTGGAAACAGCTGGACTCTGTCCACCACAACCGCAGCGCTCTGTATTTGCAGTGCCCCCCTGGGCGCGGGGCGAGCGCCCTGTGGAGTTGGTGACAAGGCGGCGACAGCAGTTCCGGCCCCCCCAGCCCCGAGCTGGCCGGCCCTGCGTGGCGTATCTATTGCCCGAGGGTGTCCGCGTTCTGTCAGCCAGTCCCCAGGTCTCGGAGTGGACTGCTAGGCAGACGGAGAGTCGTCTACAGAAAAAGATGCTTTTGGGGAGTCGGGGGTACACCTTCGCAGGAGGGGGGTGGGCCGACGGCTGCGTTCTGGACGGTTTGGAGCGTGTTGGCACAGCCGAGGTGGCAGCAGCTACCCCCGCCCCTGGTCTGTGAGGCCGACCTGTGCTGAGCGTGCTCAGCCGGCTCCTGGGAGGGAGTCAGGTCCCCGCACAGCTGCTGCTGTCCTCGCTCAGGGCGCGCGGGCATCAGGCCTGGGGGTGGGCGGGCTGGGGGTCAGCAGACTGGGGCGCCTCAGGAAGGATGGGCTGACAGGGCAGCGTTGCGAGCAGAGGGGTCGCTGAGATGATGCAGGAGCGTTTCTGATTTTTCAGCCCACGACTCAGCAGTCGCCACAGGATGAGCAGGAGAAGCTCCTGGACGAAGCGGTCCAAGCCGTGAAGGTGCAGTCGTTCCAGATGAAGAGATGCCTGGTGAGCACCGTGGGGGGGGGGGGGCTGCACGCCTTCTGTTGGGGTCAGCCAGCCTT